AATCTGATGCTGATCCCCTACATCTCCCCTCCCCAGCATGGCCTACAGGATAGGGGTTCAAATGCTTCAACATGGCACACATGGCTTCTCAGTTTGGCTTTGCCTCTGTAGCTTTACTGGCCATGGCCTTTCCTACCCCTGTGCCTTTGCACTTGCTTTATTTCCCTCAACTTCCCAGAACTGTCCTTTCCCCCTTTCTGTCTTCCCAACTTGTCCTACTGGTTACGTGAGCCCCACCTCCAACTGAAAGCTTCCCCAGACTCTCATATCACACTTAATGTGGTACCTGCTCACATGGAATTGTGAACGGCATCGTTAACATCTGGTGACATGTCTGTCTCCCCAGCAGACTGCAAGTTCCATAAGAGCAGAGACTCGGCCACAGGGCCTAACTCACAGTAAGAGCTCAATAAATATTACTTAAGTGAAGGAACCACTTCCAGCTGCTCAAGTTTTTTATGCTAAAACTCATGTTTCTTTTATCCTTGTTGTCCTCGAAAGATACAACATGGATGTACTTGGAAAGTTAACCAAGGTACTATGAAAGTGACCCCACCTAATCTATGCCTTGCTGATTACTCTGCCTGTCATTCAGTGATTCCATGGTTATTTCTATAGTGATGCAGAGAAACGCAACTGAAAACAATATTGTTCACTTGGGTCTGGTGTATTTCATCCACACATTTGTAGTAATGAGATGAACACAAATTGCCAGGATGGTCACATAAAATTTTCAGTAGCATCAGTGATAGTACAAAAAGGCCTTCAAGTGTATTTTCAAGAATCAGCATTTACTGATGGCAAAATACTATTAAAATATGGAATGTCCGATTTCCTTAAGTACTAAGTTTGACAGTTGGTATCTCTGACATTTCACTTTGCCACTTCTTGTTTTTGTTTTGTTTGTTTGTTTGTGAAGGTGCATCCTCATTCTTTCAAACACACATTTTGGCTTGTGATTATCTTTCAAATTTTTTTTAGAGCAATTTTTGTGAAACCATGGATAAGTCAAAAATTCATGTTATTTTTGAATATGAGTTCTGTTGAGGAACCAATGCAGCACAGACAGCTCGAAATATCAATGAAGTGCTTGGGAAGGATGTGGCTAATGAACACATAGTACATCAATGGTTTCAGAAGTTCCATTCTTGTGATTTTAGTCTTGAAAATGAGCCATGTGGGTGACTAATCAATTGTCAACAAGCTGTGGAAAACGCCTTTGGCGATTTCATCGCCACTCACTCTCTAGCCTTCTTTGCTGCTGGCATAAGCAAGCTACAATTAAGATGGCAAAACTGTGTCAATAGTTTAGGCACATACCTTGATTAATTGTACTGCTTCTTGTTTGGGATATAATAAACTAAACTGTTGACTGGAAATCGGACATTTCATATTTAGTGACCTAATAGTTTAGAAAATATCTCAGATTCATAGGTTATCATTTTAGGCCCTCTTTAGAAGCCAGCTGGCCTAGTGGACACAGCACATAGGCTATGAGATAAAAATCTCACATGAGAGCGGGGGCTTCAAACTCTGTTCCGTCATTAACAGCAGTCTTGGCTTGAGTCACACCAGTCATGAGGCAGACTGAACACAAGCATGCAAGTGTGGCTGCCTCAGCCAACCCCCCCGCCCCATCCCAGTGTTCCCAGCATTAGATACTGATTTGGGAGAAATCAGGTCACAGTGTATAAATTTGTTTTAATGTAACACTGCACTATTATGCAATGGAAAAAGAAAATAAAAGTACAAATACTCAACCATTAAACCTTTAGCAACTTGGACTGTATCTCAATTTGTAATTTATTTGACTAACTTCATTTAAACAAATATTAAATCCCTTCACTTCAAGTGACCATTAGGTTTAATTCATTAAAGCTGTACTTACTCCAGCATTAATACCTATCGTATCTACAAAAGAAGGCCAAAAAGCTTCAATAAAACATGGATCACAGTACAGGAGAACAGAAATCAGAAATTTGCTGGTAAAAGTTTGGAGATACACTCTAGTTTCACAGAAAATGTTTAGCAATAAATTAAGACTTAAAACCCCATCTCAAACGGGCTTTTACCAATGGAAGATTTGTTTATCATGTAACTGAGAAGTCTAAGGGTACAAGTCTTTATTAATTCTGGCACATCTTGATCTAGGGGGTTCAAATAATATTAACAAGTCTAGATCTCTCCCTGTCTTTCAGGTCTGCTCTGAAAAATGGCTGTAATATTGGCTTCAATCTAAGGTCCCAGCAGCTCCAAGTACAGTTGAAGTACTGATGTGTTTCAATAGTCCAAGAAAGAAGCCCCAAAATTGAGACTTAAGGACTTGTGCCCCACCCTAAAACAAACACAGGGCCCAGAGAATGGAATGTTCTGATTGGCTAGGCCTGGATCATGTGGCCCCTCTTGGAGCTAGAGGAGGGAATCAACTCCAAAAACAGAAAATGGGGGGAGTAGGGGCGATTTCACAAAGAAAACCCTAAATGCTATTATCAGAAGAAGAAGGCATGGATATACTGGGCAGACAAGACAAAACAATAGACGTCCACTATAATAAGCTTCTAGTCCCTCCCAAGGGCAAAGGGAGCTAATAGCCCCTCTTTAGACCCTATCATCATGTTGCCATTAGCCCACTGGTGAGCTCCACCCTCATTCTATCTTATCTCCACTCCCTTTACCATTCCTTCTAGATAACCTGTCCTGTATCACCATATAATTGTCCAGGACAATTCTAATTCCAAATATTCTGTCCCCCATAAACAAAATTTTATATTTAGTAGATCACATATTGTGATTGATCTTTGCTTTGGAAAATATGGTCATGGTATGTAGTGTCCCAGGAAAGAGGCACAAGAGAAACTGTCCCTCCATACCTGCACCACTAAAAGCTGAGGTATGTTGGAAAATGGGCTAGGATGCTGCCCACTGGGGTTTATTAAACAGCTGGTGAGTTTGTTCTTCCTTCTGCCTAAAGCAAAGAAAAAAATTAAACCTCCAGAAACTGAAAGCTTTGGTAGCAGCCCCATTAATTATGTGGGAGAGAACATACAAAACAATGGTGAGTACTGAGCCTGCAGGTGACCGCTCTGATTGGCCTCTACTGAGAGGCAGTTAAGACGAAACCATTATCGGCCATGGGCAAATGCACCACATGATGGCGACAGCAGCAGAGGATAGAAGCAGGCCCTCGGGGCATTTGCCAAGTGCCAGCAAGAAAAGTGCATGGGAGTGTCCAAGCTGAGAACAAATGGATGAGAATTCCCAGGGAATTGTCAAGCAATGACTAGCAAAACTCTGAGGGGCTATCTGGAGGAGAAATAGAGCCTGGAACCTTTTCAAGTAAAAATACCTGTTTTTATTTGTTTTCTCCAGGAGTCATTGTCTTATATAAGCAGGGAGGGAACTATGTGTGGGAGATGCCAGGTAACTTTGACTGGAATAGAATCCCATCTCTGGGCAGCAAATCCAAAGTCCACCTGGGAAAATGCAACTGTAGGAGGAAGGCCATTATAGCTCAGGAATAATTTAGCAACATTGTATGACATTTGTTCAACAAGGTTATTTTTTTGAAAAAAGCAGCAGCTTAAGAAAGTTAGGTGGAAATTAGTGTTCAGTTTATTATTAATACCAACAGGAAAAATAGGCATAGGGACCCTTCTTGAAAATGTACCTTCCTCATTTTTCTTTTATTTATCAAATTCAGATTATATATATATATACACAATTCATTTTTATTTTGCATATTAAATTCATATTAGGTATATCAGTCCTGGATCAAAGCCAGAGACATTCTGTTGGACTATAGTTCTGAAAAAGCATTTCTATAGGGTTAACCAAAGTAATATGGTTCAAGCATTCATTAAATACATATTTTTAGAACACCGACTTCATGCCAAGGTCCATGCTGGGTGCTGAGGATAGAACAGTGAGCAAAGCAGACGTCATCTCTGCTAGGGCTTGAAGTTTTCTAGCACCCTGCTTTGATGCGGAATTCATACAGACCTGCCTAGGCTTTCTTCTCCCAGTAATCGTATTTCTCAGACTGAAGTAACGTTCTCTGCAGTAGATGCTTGTCAGGTTTGTGGCTGCTCAGCATCTTTTGAATACTTTTTGTATACTTGGTAATTTTCCCCACAATACAATCCCTGCCTCCCAAGGCAGAAGCCAGAACTCAATTTCCCAGCCTTTCTTGCAGCGAGAGCACCTTGTTGCCAATTGGTGCACCCATATGATTCTTTGATACAGAAGAAACAACCCCAGGATGCACGTCTCATGAAAAATCCATTTTCAAGAGGGGTTGAGGGCGGAAGAATCTGGCTTTCCAGGGCAGCATTAATGAAGTTTTTGGCACCCAGTGTCCTGCAGTGTGAGTGTGGTTTGTCTCACTGCAGCTAGCTCACAGGATGGTTTGTTTCTGGCTGTGCAGGCTGTAGGCCCCTCTGGCTAGACCAGAGATACTGTGAGCTACCTAAGATTCCCAGTTGCTTATCTTTTAAAACTAGTGAGATTGAATTCTGCTCTTTGCAAAGAACTATGACTAATACATACACTGAACTACTGTTACATGCCAGATCCCAAACCGGCACATTCCTATGTTACTAAAACTTCATAAAATTCGTTTAAGGTACAAATTATCATCCATTTTACAGCTGAGAAAACTGAGACTCAACAAGACACTTCATTCATTCTTTTATTAAAGGCCTACCGTGTGCCAGCCACTGGGAATAGAGTATTGAACAAAACAGTTCCCTATAACTATGAAAAAAAAGAATGGCGTATTGTGCTTTAAATGTCCCCTTGCCAAAATAAAGAGAAACAGTACAGCAGCTGTCTGGAGAGGACCATGCCGGTCAGGCCCCATTATAAATATAGAAAACCCCTAAAAATAGCCACTCATGTTCCAGACTCAACAGGTGATTGGCCCAAAAAGAGGGGAGGAGAACCTAGGCCTCAGTGAAGGAGAGTGGAAGGACAGTGCCGTTGTCGCAGCCTCCCTCACCGCAATGGCTCTGCCTCTGAGGTCCTTGAGTCGTGGCTTGGCGAGCGCAGCCAAGGGAGAACACGGAGGGGCAGGAGGTGAGTGGGGCTGGGCCTGACCGAGTGGCTACCTGACCTTGCCCACCTGTTCCACCCCTCAGATCCCCGCACCCTGCCGCCTCTGGGGTCCTGGAGACACCCACCACCTGCCCACTGTCCCCCAGACCTCCCCGCCCAGTGGCCTCCCGCTTCTCTCACCCCATCTTCCCCCGCCCAGCCAAAACCTGGCGCCTCCTGACCTTCGTGCTGGCGCTCCCGAGCGTGGCCCTCTGCACCCTGAACTGCTGGCTCCACGGGAGCCACCGCGAGCGCCCCGAGTTCATCCCCTACCACCACCTCCGTATCCGCACCAAGGTACGCGCGCGCCTCGGCACCCGGCGTCCCCTAGCGGGCGGGAGGGCGTGCGGGGACCCCAGGCCAGGGACGCCGCTGACGCTCGCTCTCCCTCCCCCGTCTCTCCACAGCCCTACTCCTGGGGGGACGGCAACCACACTCTTTTCCACAATCCCCGCGTCAACGCTTTGCCCACGGGCTACGAACAACCCTGAGGCGCCGGCGGACGCCCGGTGGAGCAATAAAGTGTGGAAGCTTTGTGTCTGCTGGCTCCTTGGGCAGGCGGGCGGGCCGCGAGGGGGTCTCCGCGCATGCGCACAGTGCGGCCGGCGCGCCACGTGCTTTCGCGGGTCGCTGCTGTGCGCGAGGCAACATCCTTCCTGAACAGGTAGGAGATCCCAGCCCTCTCTCTCTCACTTATTAATAATTACGTCTCACACACACACCTGTTAAAAATTAGGACTCTGGGCTGTAAAGGACTTTCACACACACTGAATCCTCACAGTGACTCTGGGAACAAGATGCAATTTTGGTTCCCTTTCTCCAGAGGAGGAACCTGAGATTCTCAGCGATTAAATGACTGGTTCAGGCACTTCATCAGAGACCCCGTGGAACCCAGAGCTGCAGACTCTGAACTATCAATTCTTATCTGACACACACTGCCTGAACGGACAGCATCTGCGAATCCTAGCTAGCTGGAGATAACCTGATTTCAAACATGGGCTCGACAGTCCTATATGTGAGGCCTCATGACCTAATTCTGGATTTGGAATATTTTGGGTCATTTTATATGACCATATTTAATGGGTCTTCTTTATTAGTTTGGGAAATCAAATGCTCCTTTCTAGAAGCCTGGCTCTCCAGGCTTCTGGAGACCCCATTCAAGGAGGACATTGGTTCAAATGAGTTCTAGACATTTCATTCACCTCCTAGGACAGTCTGCTCACTTGCCATTACTAGGAAACTGAAGCCTGTGCTGGAACCCATGAGTGACACATGTGCACACGCGTGCATGCGCGCGCGCACACACACACACACACACACACACTTCCTTTGACCCTCTACCCTCATACTACTCACAGCACCATCAAGAAAAAATAAACCTCATGCCCCAGTCACCTGAGGAAGTGAGAGAACTTTTTCTGTACCCACAAATAGTTTCCCCCAACTATTACTAGAACAATACTCAGGTCCCTGGGTTAGAGCTCTTCCATGCAAGGGAAATGCATTGTAAACATTCTCCTTTAATGTGACAATTCTTATACATATGAATATTTATGCTGGCATCATGCCTGCTTCTGTAAAAAGTGGGTCATCCCTGAAGAAATTGGATTTGTAAAAATATAAAAATCTCTACCTCTTTGGGAAGGTGGCTTTGCACCTGATAGGTTGTTCAGACCAGTTCAGCTCTATGCAGAGGTTGTTTCCACAGAAGTAGATTTATGGGTGGAGGCAAGGCCAGCCCATAGGGGCAGAGATGAACAGGACAGTGGATTATTAGGACGAAGGCAAATTTGAAGCCTCATGGCTGAAATCCTCCCCACTGAATGTAGCAGCGTCTTCAGGCTTGTCACCCAGCATTTCTTTGTACTGACGTTTGAAGAAGCCAAGCTATGAGAGAAAGTAAATCATAAAAGCTGGGTAAGAGGGCAGGTAAGAAAGTTGGGAGTAGGAAAAAACTGAGAAAGAAGGGGAGAAGAGAACTAAGCTAACATATTTGTGTGCCAGATGTTTTTGTGAATAATAGCTATCATGTATTGAGAATCTACTGTGTGCCAAACACAATAGTTAGACGCATCATCTGTAGCAGAAAAACATAGATTCTGTAGTCAGGCAGGTCTGTGCATATATCCTGACCTCATTTCTGTCTCACTTCAGCCACTCTGTGATGTAAGAATTATTCTCATTACAAAAATGAGAAACAGGCTCAGAGAGGTTGAGCAACTTGCCTAACACTAAATGGTGAGTAAGTGATGGAGACAGGATGTGTCCAGGCCTGTCTGACTCCATGGTCTGAGTTCTCACTGTACCATCCTGTCTGTGGGAGGACTGGGCTGGATGCTGGACATGTCAAGAGTGGGATGAAAACACTCACTTCGTACAGTGCAGCTGTGATGAGAGCCAGAAGCAGCAAACCTCCCACAGAGCTGCCCACCATGAGGGGGATGGGGTTGTAGACCTCATACTCCTCCAGCACCGTCTCCATCTGATTTAGGGATCAGCATATGTCAGGCCTCTTGCTGCCACAGTCTCCTCCTAGGTTCCCCAACCTTTAACTCCCTCCTGCCCTTCCCCAGGCCCTGCTCCCACGGGTGAAATGCAGAAGCACTTATATGCTTAGGGACAACTGTCCCGCCCAGAGACCTTTATCTCTCCTCCCTCCAGGCTCACAGGCCCCCCACCCAGCATTGCAGATTTAGCACCAGAAGCCCCCTTACCAGCCTGGCCACTGCCTACCACACAGTCACTACCTGGGCTCTCATAAACATCTCCTGTCCTGGAAGCTGGGAATACACGGACCTGTTGAACGTGATTTCGGCTACGCTCACGACCAACACCTTCTTCTGCAACGTCTTCGAAAGAAAGGGGCGGGGGGAAACCTGTGGAATTGGCTCTGGGGGATGCTCAGAGTTCCAGGAATGCCCTGGCTTGAGGTCGGGCACAGACACATCAGGTACCACGTGAGTCTCGGGCAGGGGCTGTGCCCTTGGGCCTACACACCTGGCTGACCCAGCCGAAGCTAAGGTTGCCCTTCAGGATGAAGTCAAGTTCCTCCTGGATGCCGAAGGAGGGGATGTCACAGCGGAACCTCAGGCAGTCAGCAATGGAGCAGTCCTAGGGCAGGAGAGGAATGAGGTTGAGGAGGGTCCTCACTTAGGAAAGAATCATAAGAGAAATAGGGTCTGTCAGATTTTGGGTAGGGAACAGATGAACAATTTCAGGATGTGTACCTAACTCGCAATCTAGCAGTACTTTTCCCTGTATCCCCCAGTGTGGGCTGGTCTTGCAGTGGGGGATCAGGGCCTTTCTCACCAGCACAGAACTCCTTAGAATCTGGGTCAGGAAGTCAGGATGCTGGGGCGGTTCCCTCTCTGACACACAGGGGAGACTCTAGGGAGAGAGAGAAGTAGCCACAGAACAGTCAACACATCCCTGGAAAGAGGGGGTGCGGTGCAGTGGGATCAGACTCTGGAGAAGGAGGAAAGGCAGGCAGGCACCTGTGCAGGGGCCTCCAAGGCCACGTCCCACACAGCCACACTGTTCAGCAGGATGGGGACCCAGAAATGAACACTGACCGCCAGATCTCGCTGACCCAGGTTATTCACCTGCAGAAAATCGAGACAGAACATTATTGTGGTCTCTGGAGCACCCCAAATCCCACTTCTTTCCGGGCCCTAGCCCGAGGTGCCTCTCCATCTTTCCCCACCAACTTCCAACTTGATCTGCACCGAGGGAGGGCAGACGTGGGTATTCCCTAGCCTCTCACACGATATCGATGCTCAGCCTCTTTCCTGCTCTTCTCATCAGAAGTCGAAAAGTTGAAGTACTTGGTGGATTCCTCCTGCCTGGAGAGAGAGGGCCTGTTGGTGAAAAACAGCCCTGAGACCGTCCCCAGTTGTGCCCTAGCCTGCTGCAGAGAGTTCCGTTTGGCCGGCAGATGGTCTCACGTAGCTCTGCAGCCTCGGCTTCAGCCCCGTTGCCCCCAGCGCCCTGTGCCCCAGTCACCCAGAACCGCTAGCTCTGCCCTCGACACCCCTGGCTCTCTCATACCCCTACGACTTTGCTCAAGCTCTTTCTTCTGCTTGGAATGTCCTTACCCACACCCCTTCTGGAAATTTACACTTAAAGGCCCAACTTAAACATCACCTCTCCTAATTTTTAAACATTTCCCCATGAGAAAAAGGTATCCACATTGCTTCGTCTAGTAGCTACATGGTTAGTGTCAGGTAACACTTGCAGAGACTGTAGCCGGAACAATAAGCTCAGGGGGACTCTAGGGAATGATGGCTGGATCACTCCAGAAAAAATGGAATGAGAGCCCCTCCACAGTGGGAAGGAAGAAAATAGATGTGGCCACCCTGAAGCAGGTAAGTAAATGTGAAGGAAGATGGTGCATGGACACAAGCCCATGGAGGGGACATGAGTGTCCTAGGCTGCAGGTGGGTTTCCATCCATCCATGGCGTCCTTCAGCAAACATAGGCTGTGTGGCTGGCCTTGGGGGGTCAACAGGTAAGGCATCATCCCTGCCCTCTCAGAGCTTAGTATCTAAGGTCTCAGTAGAATCAAGCGGACTAGCAGAAGGGCCTGTCCTTTTCACCCGCAGCCCACACACAGCAGCCAGGCCAGCCGCACAGAAACTCCGTGGGCCCAGCAGTATCCCCACCATCAGCCTCCCAGCGTGGTGATTAGGAACACACAGGCTCTGGTGCCAGACTTCCTGGGCTCACATCTCAGGTCTACCACTTTTTGCCTGAGCCACTTCAGGCAAGCTACTTAACCTCTCTGGAGCCCTGTAGTTTTTTCCTCTTTAAAATGGGGATGATAATAATAGTGCCTACCTATGGTAGAGTTGTGATGAAGGCTGTAGCGGTGCCTAGCACACAGTGAGTCCTCCAGAAATGTTAGAGATTATTTTCCCTTACTATGCTAGCCTTCCTCTCTGCTCCCCATCCCAGCCCCTTCTCCCTGTGCTTCCGTTTTCTCACCTTAAAACCTTACAGTTCTAAACCTCTTTTCAAATCTAAGCAAGTCACCCAGCTTTCCCAAGTCCTCAGAGAGGCATGTGGTATATGGCCAGGGGCTCTGCAGCGAACCATCTGGATTTGATTCCTGGTTTGGTCGCTTGGTGAATGACAGGGGCAAGTTATTTAATCTGTTGATTTCTTTGTCGGTAAAAATGGGGATAACAATACAGTTATAGAATTGTAGGGTTAAATGAATGTAAATGCATGTAAAGTGCTTAAAATAAAGCAAAAAACCCAAAACAACATAAAACAATGCCTGACATAAGTATCCATAACTGTAAGTTCTTCATATTTTCCTGTGGATAGAAAGGGAAACTTATACATGTGGTTTGAAAGGGCAATGACACTGCTTGATCCCCTCCCCCAAGTTCCCCTAAAAATTCATACATCAGCAGCTGCAGCAACAGCAGCAAACTCTGTCCCACGGCAGTGTTATAAGCTTCTGAGCAACTCTCTAAACCCCTGAAGCTTAACCCAGCATGTGGGATCCTTGCTTTGTTTCCAGCCTGGC